GTGCAGTTGCCAAGGCCAGGGATGGACTGGATGACTGCGCTGCGGCAAGCATCCTCCACCAGGGGCAGGAGCAGGAGCTTGGGAGTGTCGATGTCGTACTGCAGCTGGATAGTGCAGGATCCTCCGTCGCGAGGGTTGAACTTGAACTGCGTGACTTCCTGGTATTGGTTCTTGATATCTTCTTCGCGCAGCTTGGTGTCCTTTGTCTCGCCCTCCGACTCTTCATCGGAAGCATCGTCCATCTCGACATCACGCTTTTCGCCGGCGTTACCCTCCTCCTCGTCGTCATCGTCTTCTTCAGCATCCTGCTGTCGGACCATGTCCACCTCCTCGTCCTCGGGGCCTTCGTAAGAGACCTGGTTGGACCGGTTCTGAGTGCCCCGAGCACGCTTGGCGTCGTCCTCGTCGTCTTCAACGTCGTCGTCAGCCGGCTCTGCATCGGCATCGGCGCCGCGGGGTCCGTCCTGTACGGTGCCAACGGAAGCACCAATCTCAGGCTGAGCAGTGGAGTACTTCTTCAGGGTCTTCTCATCGACACGCTTCTTGAGTTCAGCCTTAGTGAGTCTGACAAGCTTAGGAATGAGCTTCTTCTGCAGTGTGTTCTGCACATCCTTCGTCGTGATGGCGTATTCGGCGGTGTACTCGTCAGCAGGGAAGAAAGTGATATCAATGTCGTAAACCTTAGCCTTGACACTGCCTGAGGAGACGCGCTCTCTGACTTGGACCTTGTCGACAACCTCCGCGATGCTGAGCTTGCTGATAGCCTTGGCAAATCTTTCGGAGTGCTCCTTAGACAGCTCGTCGTTCAAGATCAAGGTCATCGTAGGGGTCATGATATGGGCACTAGCGGTCATAACGATTTCACGCAGACGGGGAATACCCAGCGTCACGTTCTTCGCCGAGTGACCAGCCAAGTGGAAGGTGTTCAAGGTCATCTGGGTGGACGGTTCACCAATAGACTGACCGGCAACGATACCGATGGCCTCACCAGGCTCGACGACAGACTTCATGTACTTCATGTTCATGAGAGTGTTGAATGCCTTCTTGCTGATGATACCGTTCACGTCCTTCTTCTTGTCCTTAAGAAGCTTGTCCGGGTTGGCATCCTCGTACTGGAAACAGGATTGTCAGTCACAGTACTTCGTCTCGTTTTGGGGTTTCAGATAGTCTTACCTTCTTGAGAGCTTGCGAGAAATTCTCCGAGATACTTCCCAAGTTACCTCCGGGGTGGTAGAGAGAAAGAACAGGGTCCATGGCTTCGACCTTTCCTGTCTTGCGCACCTTCTTCATGGCATCCTTATGCCAGTTCGCGACCTCCTCCTTCTCCAAGTTGTGGAAGTCGCTGGTCAGGTTGACCTGAGACATGATAGACACGTAGTTCGATGCCAAGAAATCGAAGTCCTTCAGGTGGACCTGTTTGGTGATATCCAGACCATCCTCACCATACAAGAACTGGACGATCGAGCCATCAGTGGCTTCACGAACAGAGCTGTCGTACTCTGCCTTCAAGCCTTCCATACCCTTGATCAAACAACGCTGCAAGTATCCGGATCTAGAGGTCTTGACAGCAGTATCAATCAAACCTTCACGACCAGCCATGGCGTGGAAGTAGTATTCCTGGGGCTTGATACCAGTCAAGAAACGACCACAGACATAACCACCAGCCATAGGATTCGTGTCAAATGCTCTGAAAGATGGCAGAGTCTTACCGCTAACCATGACGGGTACACGGCGACCTTCCAGAACCTGTTGACCCAGGTTGCAGGAAATCAGGTTGGCATTGACGCTCGAACCCTTAGCTCCGGAGATTGTCATAGACTGCATCTGGTTCCACGGGAAGGGCTTAACCAGACCCTTCGGAAGACAGGCCTTGGTGATCTCGGTCGAGAGCTTCGCGGTGCGAGCGTTCGAAACACTATCAAGGCCGCCCTGCTTCTCATCGTCTCGGAGAACCTCCTCCATACGTCGCCGCAGCTCGGCATCTTGGTCGGGCACAGTAGTCTGGTCGAGGGTGACATACTTCAGTGCAACCTCCCGACCAATGGCAGCAGCTTCGCTAATCTTTTCTTTACGAACGCGGTCGCCCTCCGGGGTCAGTCGAAGATCGTCGATACCGCAAGTAAAGGCACGCATGTTCAGGTATCTCGTCAGAAGACGACCGAGAATACTGATCAGCCGACCAGCAATGGTATGTCCATAGATTTCATGGATAGCATCGATCAAACCACCAGCTGTGGGACCAATCTGCTTCTTGTCGAGAATACCAGAAAGCATCTCTCCATCCTTGAAAATAACTTCTCCTTCCTCGTTACCCTCGCCCCAACGGTCTCCAGGGGTTGAAGACTTGCTCTTCAAGTTGAGACCAGCCCTGTCGTGAGGCATGATATTCTTGAGGATGGTCGAGATAATCTGCTTACCGGTCCAGAGACGTTTAGGCCGGATCACCGTGGGGCCCACAGTCTGGATCCGATCAGTAATCGTGTGGGAGTTCTCGGGCCTCAAGCAGCTGTACAACAGCTGGTAGTATTCTTCCTCATCGAAGAAGCTGTCACGGCAGGTGAACCAGGTTCCCATGGAGATGTGATCCTGAATCAGACCTCTCAGGGGTTTTCCGGATGTTGCGACAAGGTACTGATGGTCTGCATCCGCAAGCATCATAGCCTCCGAACGAGCGAGCTCGTTCTGAGGGAAATGCATGTTCATCTCATCACCATCGAAATCTGCGTTGTAGGTATTGCAGTTGGCGTAGTGCATGCGAATAGTTCTTTCGTTGGGAAGAACACGAGCTTTGTGACCCATGATGGATGGCTTGTGAAGTGTAGGCTGACGGTTCATCAAGACGATATCACCGGTGGTGAGATGACGGTAAACCTTCTTGTTACGCGATCCTTTCATGCGCCAATTTGACGGGGCGAGCAGCTGGTTTGCCAACGCCGTCCGCTCATCCAGACTCTTGAACCGGAGGTTGGTGACTTGGCCAAATTCGTTTTCAATAGCCGAAGCACCAGGGTACTTGTCAGGACCATTGATGACTGCCTGCTTCATCTCCCAGAAGTTATGGTTCGTCACCGGCTCGGGGTAGGTCAACTTCTTCGCGAACACCATAGGGACACCAATTTCGTTGGTCTCAATGTTAGGATCGGGCGAGATAACACTTCGAGCAGCAAAGTTGACACGCTTTCCCATCATGTTCTTCCGGAATAGACCCTCCTTCTTTTCGAGGTACTGCTTGATGCCCATCGGAGCGGCGGCGGCGGCGGGTCCGCTGAGGTTACCACGGTCACGGTCGATTAGCATGTTGACAGTATCCTGGAGGGTGACGATCGAGTGAAGGAGATCACGGTAGTCCCGCACGCGCGTAGTAGAGTCGGCGCCTGCGCTCTGTCTCTCCTTGCTGATCTGGTTGATGATGTCGCAGTTCTTCAAGATCGCGGTGAATGACTGGTTCTGCTGAGCCTCCATGATCTGACCGGGCCCTTGCGGTGCCGCGGGACGGAACTTGTTCGGTGGCACCAGGATGTTCTTGATGAAGAACATATCTGCGCTAACCCGGGACTCCTTTTTCGGCAAAGGTCGGGAGTTATAAACCAGGCTCAAGATTTCCTGCTCTTTCTCGAAAAGCAGCGTCATCGCAGCGTGAACTTCGGGAGAGGGCATGAACTGCTGGGTCTCCCCAACAGCCTGTTTCCTGCTCTCAGCCTGGGCCACAATTGCATTTCCACGCGCAACCTCTTCCTCTGCACCATGTGTTTCGGAAGTGGTGCTAACATTGTCAGACACTCCGTTAGCAAGCGCCGCCTTCTCCTTGGAGGTAAGGTTCTTGGCATGCTGGAGGAGGACCAAGGAATTCGGTATTTGGAATCCAGCTTGCGTCATGATAAGTCTAGACTTCTCGGGCAAAGCCTTTCGGAAGATTTTCGAGGACCGATCTTTACGGTACGACGGGGAGAGTCTATGCGCCTGGATCAGTGACGAGGCCTTGCAAAAGTTTGCGCGTAGAGAATTCAGGAACGTACCCGCTGCAGCTGGCGCACTTCTTCACAGCACCAATGTCTTTGAAGAATTCTCTAACAAGTGCTCGTCTCTGCTCCGCAGCGAGCGGGTTCTTCGAGCCAGACATGAGACCCCGTAGCCTTCCATCTGCTTGCGCTTGGCGGATAGATTTCTTGACAAAAGCATTTCTGCGGGCGATAATGTCATCGTCGTCCTCTTCCTCGCTGCTCGACCCTTCACCATCCTTGTTCGTCTTCTTCTTGTCGGACCCCTTGCCGCCAATCGTATCGATAACAGCTACCTCATCAACCAAGCCATAGTGCAGCAGGCGCAATTTGCAGCTGTAGGAACTGATGTTGGTTCGGCTCATCTGGAAACGGTGGCAGTAGACACACTGGCCCTTGAGCAAGCGGTACAGCTGGTCGAAATGCGTGACATTGTACACATGGACTGGGAGTTCGATGTGTCCTGGATGACCAGTACAAGACCATGAGGTTTGGCGGCATGTCGTGCAACTGGAGACTGTTAGCTACGATTCGCATACGCATCGTACGCGATCACATAGAACTCGAAAGCAACGAAAGGGGAACCTTACACATGGTCACCCCATGCACCCATAGCCGGGTCATAGAGACCACCGGGAACGGGGTTGTTGAAAGAATCCAATGTCGGAGTATTATGGATTCGCTTTACCGAGATGGCCTTGATGTCTTGATCATTGTAGACACCAAACTCAATCCCCGCAATGGAGGAGGCCACAGGCCGAGCGAAAGTAGTCATGATTCCCCTGGCAGCCGCTTGAGCGACAAACGACGCTGGCGGTGCAAATTCTGGGACTCGTGGGGGGTTAAAGGCCTGGGAAGCAGAAAAGGCGGGTTCGTCGGTCTCGACGATGCGAAAAGTTTCACCCAACTTTTTTTCTGCCGTGCGACACCGCCGGCGGACCCACGTTGGCACTTGCAGCGCCCCGTGATTTGAGATCCTTTCCTTGTCTCGATTGTTGACGTCTTTTCGCGACCGGCCCCAGATCTTGCTTATTGAGCTGCCTTTCTTCGACCCTCTCACTTCGATCCCATCGCTAGTCTGTCGGTCGCTCTGCTGATCTCCGTGGGTGAGTGGAGCATTCATTTGTCTCTCCGATCATGGCGGACATATCAGGCAACATGCTGAAGCGGCCTCACCCCGAGGACCAAGACAACAACACTCAGAAAAGACCTCGTTCCAATCATGGATCCCCCATGCCAGCCCAAGGCGCACCTGCCGCGGGCAAGGTTGATATTGAAAAAATGGTGGCCGAAGCAAGAGCAAAAGCAGAAGCTGTGCGTGCCAGACTTCAAGCGGCAAAGGGTATATCGCCATCGCCTACACCGGCTGCATCAAGTGCCAGCCCTACGCCTCCTGCCGCCAGTCCAGCCATGTCGAGATTGGAACAAATGAAAGCTAGAGTGGCAGCAGCGACCAGTCGCGCCAACGCTGCTCCTCCGCAACGACCCGCCCCTACGCCGACGCCTCAACCTCCTCCATTCGAAGATGAAGACGATGGCTCGTCGCGAGCTCGAGGTGGTCTGGATGTTGGTCTTCACCCCGCTTTGCTCTCCGATACACTCGAGTTCCGGGGTGCGAAAGGACGGCAGACTTCCCAAAACAAGAGCCGACGTACAGAATCGCCAGCTACCGCGGGGAGGCCAGATCGAGCCGGACTTGATCTATCGGGGCCGTCTATAGAGGAAATCAAGAACAACCCATACTTTGACCCGAACCTTGGTCCGAAGGCAACAGTAGCGAAGCCCCGACAAACGCGACAACTCATTTTCAACCAGAAGGGCAAATATATACAGCAGGCCGCTGCTCTCCGTCGGCAGGCTCAGTTGGAGGCTATGAAGAAGCGGATTGCGGAGAGAGCACGGCAGGCGGGGATTGATGAAGACTTGGATGTTGAAAAGGCTTTCCTCGTGCCAGCCCCTCCTGCAATTGAATGGTGGGACGAAGGCCTAGTAAACGGCGAGGATTATTCTAGCATCGAAGATGAACAAAACCTCAAGATCGACACGCCTGACTCGATTATCACGCAATACGTACAACACCCAGTTCTTCTCGATCCTCCGCAGGAAAAGCTACTACCAGCACAGAAGCCTATGTATCTCACGCCAAAGGAACAGGCGAAGATCCGTCGCCAGCGCCGCATGGCAGATTTGAAGGAACAACAAGCGAAGATCCGACTGGGTCTCGAGCCTGCGCCTCCACCGAAGGTCAAGAAATCGAACCTGATGCGAGTCCTGGGTGAACAAGCCGTCAAGGATCCCACGGCCGTGGAGGCACGCGTGAACCGGGAAATCGCAGACCGTCGTGAGAAACACGAGACTGCGAACGCGGAGCGCAAACTTACCAAAGAAGAACGCCGAGAGAAGCTTGCCCGGCAACAGGAGGCCGATGCAGAGAAGGGTATTCAAATGACCGTTTATCGAATCGACAGCCTCGCCAACGGGCGGAACCGCTTCAAAATCAGCAAGAATGCCGAACAGAACGCTCTCACAGGAGTATGCGTCATGCACCCTCGCTTCAACCTCGTGATTGTCGAGGGGGGCTCCCACTCTATCAACAACTACAGAAAGCTCATGATGAACCGGATTGACTGGACCGAGAACGCTGGCCCGAACGCGGTGCGCGAGGGCAACCGCGAGGCCCAAGCCGCCTGGCTAGCAGCTGAAGACGAGCAAACCGGGGAACTGAAAGACCTTAGTCACAATACCTGCGAACTTGTCTGGGAAGGTCAGGTCAAGACCCGCGCGTTCCGGAAATGGCTGGGTGCGCGAGTGTGTGAAACGGATTCCCAAGCTAAGGATGTCTTGGCCCGCGCGAAGCTGGAGAATTTCTGGGTATTGGCGAAGAGTGCCAAACAGAACGAGTCGTGAGCTCGATTACACATGACATGGCATGGCATAGCATTATCACGCTTTCTAATTACAATTTACTCTTCTGTATCATAAACAAACCCAGAAATATTTCCCCCACATCATATCCAGAGACATTAGTATCGTATGTCAGTACACTGTACGCCGTACATTCGACCATGATAATATTGGAAAGTTCTAAAGAAGCGCGAAGCAATTGTGCAGAATTAGATAAAACTTTTTGATTACCCATCCGGAACCGAATCAAAAAACGATGCCCAGTTAGTAGCTCCAAAAATGCAACCGAACCCGGATAACTAAACAAAAGAAAAGAGAATAATAGCCAGGATCCATTTCCAAAAGGGAACGCATATAGCAATATATAGATCAATCAATCATATCATCACAAATCACGAACGAGGAGGTCCCTGGTTCTGGTTCTGGTTGTTACTTAATTGCCGCAGAAGATCCAATTGTGCTTTCACTTGATCGAAGTTCATCGTCGGTTGTTGCGGTTGTTGTTGTCCCGGTACTTGTTGCTGTTGCTGCTGTTGTTGCTGTTGCTGAAGGGCAGCCAGGAACAAGGGGTTGATGTGCACGTTACCAGGAAGCTGCTGGTACGGGTTCGGTTGTTGATAGGCCTGTTGGAAAGGCATCTGGAAATTGAACGGTGCTGTTGGCATGGCACCTTGTCCGTACGCCTGGGGTTGTTGCGGCTGGAAGGCTCCGAAGGGAGGGAACTGCTGAGGGAGAGCGTACGCGCCTTGCGGGTTTGCGGGGTACGCTGCTTGAGGGTAGGCGTGGGGTTGAGGTTGAGGGTGAGACTGATGAGAGGCCTGCGCTTGGGGCTGGTAGTATGATTGTTGACGATCTTGATGGTGAGGAGCCGACTCGTGGGAGGGACGACCACCGCGGCCACCACCACCGCGACCTCCACGATCATATCCTCGGCCACGGCCACGGCCACCACCGCGGAAGCCGGAGTTGTTTCTGCTGGGGCCGGAATGGCCGTCGGCTTCAACGGGGGCTTCCTGCTGGCGCATCATCTCGTGCAGGTTCTTCGGCCGGGCCAGCGGAGTGTAGCCGTCGTCAGCGGGGTTGTCGTCGTAGTTCAGTTCGCTTTGGCCGAGCTTGGAGGGTCCTGGGGGGTTTCTTCTGCCTCTTGCTGGGCCGTTTTCGTTCCGAGAGTCCTTCTTTTCCTGGCGCTTCTGCTTGAGCTTGCGCTTGTACTCTGCCTCCGCTTCGTCGTCGGAGAATTCGACTTCGTCCTCGGCGATCTCTTCATCGTGGAAGTTGGAGGCATCGCTTCCCTTCAGGCCCTTGAGGGGTTGAGTGAAGACGAAGGTGGAGTGTTCCTCGACATAGTAGACATGTGTGCCCTTGGACAGGCCACGCTCGGTGATGGCGGCCGCGGTCGGGTACCGAACGGCATACAGAGGGTTCTCGACCCTTCCGAGAGTCTCGGAGACTACACCGGCGACACTGCGGTTCTCCAGACAGAGTAGCGAGCCGGCTTCGAGCACTTGGTATTCGCCGCTGGTGTTGGCGGTAATGAGGAGTGTGTTCTCAACAATCGCCTCCACCTGACCCAGATGCACAATTTTCATCTCGGGTGTGATGGTAACCTCAGGGATGGGAGGTGCTTCTTCGGGCATTTCGTTCGCTGTTCTCAGATGGCCGCCGGTTTTGCCTTTTCCATCGCCTTCGTCGTCAGAGCCAAGTTCGGCCTGCATCAATATCCGTGCTTGTTCTTCGGGGCTCAGAATGGGGTAGTCTTCGTCGTCGTCGCTGTCATCGGAAGAATCTGTGGAGGAGTCGTCGGATGAGGATTCGTAGGGAGAGGAATCGATTTCCCACTCGGGGTGCTCGTCGTCTTCTTCTTCTTCCTGGGCAGCCTCAACACCATTAGTGGCAGGTGCCTCCGCTGGTTGTTGGGTCTCCTGCTTCTCATTGGCATCCACATCCATAGCATCGGTAGCGGGCTCCGCCTTAGTTTCCTCCATCCTCTCGGGCTCAGCCTGTTCGGGGGCAGACTGGTTGGTAGAGACAGCATCGCTCTGCTCGCCGGCCGCATTTGTGGTCGTCTGTGGTTGCTGCAGATCTTTGACGTTGTCATTGACCAGGTTCAGACCCGGAATGGGGGGATGGATTTGTGAAGCGGCATCCGGCTCACTGGTCGGATTCTGAGCGCCATCAACCTGGTCCTTCACAGCGCTACTGTCCGCAGGTGTCCCGACAGCCAAGGGAGTATTGTAGAAATCGCTTCCATCGTCCGCTGGCGTCAAGGCAATGGGTGGCGTATCGATGGTGCAGGGTCTTTTGACAGGAGGACCCTCATTGGGGACTTCTGAAGAGCCCAGAGGCTGAGCAGGGAACTTTTTATCACTCATCTTGAAATCTCCAAGGACCACGAAGGACAGTCACCCCAAAAACAAGCGAAAAAGGTGGAATGGAGGAGTGATAAAACTGCGACGGGAACTTTTTTTCGTTCTGGAGAAGCGGGTTGCCGTGGTGCCGCTTATCGATAAGCGGCGCTGCTCGCTTCTTCCGCCTCGCGGGACTCATTCCGGACTCTCTTTCCGACCGCGTTAATTCGACGGCGTCAAGCACAAGTGCGACAAAAGGAGGATTCATCATCTGTGAATCATTCCTAGAAGCTAGAATGGCACCTGCTCGGAGGACAGGCGAGGCCCCTTCTGGACCGCAGGGGCCAGCGCCTACTCCGCGCACCAAACAACGGTATATGAGTATTCCTCCAGCTGGCATCTTCCATCCGCAACTGCTAATAAGTCGTGCTATTCTAAAGGCCGCCGCCGCCGCCATTTTACCTACCATTGAACATCGCACTCTACCTTTGCATTGTCACCAATGTTATTTCAGCCCTCTACGCGCCGATACAGGATTGTGACGAAGTCTTTAACTTCTGGGAACCAACGCATTATCTCAACCATGGATACGGGCTTCAGACGTGGGAGTACTCCCCGGTGTACTCGATCCGAAGCTGGCTGTATGTCTCTACACATGCCCTGGTGGGCAAAATCGGATCGTTTGCTCTAAGCAGCAAGTCTGCAGAGTTCTATGCGATCAGATGCTTCCTTGCGCTGGTGTGCGCTGCTTGCGAGACCCGTCTCTACTCCGCCATCTGTCGTACCTTGAGCCCCCGTATCGGCCTTCTCTTCCTCATGGTCGTCGCATTCACCCCGGGCATGTTCCATGCGTCAACCGCCTTCCTACCATCTAGCTTCACCATGTATATGTCGATGCTGGGTCTGACGGCGTTCTTGGATTGGCGAGATGGCCAGAAAACGGCGCAGGGAATCATGTGGTTTGGGCTCGGGGCGATTGTCGGCTGGCCGTTTGCTGGGGCTCTCATGCTTCCTCTTCTACTGGAGGAGGTTGTCATCGGCTTGTTGTCGTCAAACATGAGAGGGATGTTCCTAAGCGTTCTGGATGGCGCGATGAGGTGTTTTGTAATTCTGGTATGACTTCCTGAATGGCCTCCCCATCTTGCGTTTTGGCTAACTCTCCTAGGCTCTTGAAATTGCTGTAGACTACGCTTTCCTGCGTAAACTTGTCATTGTACCCTGGAACATCGTTGCGTACAACGTTTTTGGCGGAGAGGGAAGAGGTCCCGATATCTTCGGGGTTGAGCCTTGGACCTTCTACATCCGGAACTTGCTGCTCAACTTCAACATCTGGTTTGCATTCGCTATGGCCGCTGCGCCGCTGCTTGCCCTTCAGGCGCTTTTCCGCCCCAAGGCGACTAGTGTGCAGACCTTGCTCAGAACCGTGACGCTTATCACCCCGTTCTACATGTGGTTCGCCATTTTCACTGCTCAGCCGCATAAGGAAGAGCGGTTCATGTTCCCAGCATATCCATTCCTCGCGCTCAATGCGTCCATCGCCTTTCACATGATTCTGTCGTTCGTTGGCTCCAGTAACCCCAATGTGGCAGCTGGGAGTATGTTACCGAAGATCAAGCTGGCAGTGATTATGTCAATAATCCTAATGGCCCTCAATTCTGGCCTCCTGCGGATTGTCGGGATCATGAGCGCCTACAATGCTCCGCTGAAGGTATTCGAACCGTTGGCACAGCCCGGAGTCGCCCAAACAGGCGATACGGTGTGTTTTGGCAAAGAGTGGTACCGGTTTCCCTCGTCCTTCTTCCTCCCCAGCGACCTGCGGGCCAAGTTTGTTCGCAGCGAATTCCGAGGACTGCTTCCGGGTGAGTTTCCCGAGGCTGCGGACTTCTCTGCGCTCTTTGAAGGGACGTCGCGGATTCCCACGGGCATGAACGATCGCAATGAAGAAGATCTCGGAAAATACGTAAGTTCTTGGTCTTTCCTTCCTCTCTCTCGCATGCTTATCTTTTGCTTAGACCGACCTCTCGCAATGTTCCTTCCTGGTAGACTCGGAGTTCCCGAGCCGGAAGGCCACCGAGCTGGAGCCGGATTACATCCACGAGGACACGCAGTGGGAGCAGCTGGCGTGTCATAGCTTCCTGGACGCGTCCCAGACGGGCCTTCTGGGACGGTTGATCTGGACTCCGGATTTGCCAATCACCCCAGAGCCTCTTCGGCGGAAATGGGGCGAGTACTGTCTGCTGCGGAGACGCGGCGATGTCACAATAAACGCTGCATAGGTTGGCTATGGAAATGTGGGGTTCAAGCTACTGTACATAGATATCTCCCCCGGTTACCCTTGTTCGTATGGTGGATGCGCGCCTGCAGAAGAGAAGAGGTCATGCTGCAGCCGATGCTCGAATGAGCTTGGCTGGCGGTGTGGTGGCCTTGCCGCATTGGGGAAAGATATCCTCGGACGATAAGAGGGTTGCAGGTAATGCAGCGTCAATCAATCCCGCTGGCTGTTATCTCAAACCCACACCTTCTGGCTGGAGTTCATCCTCGCATCGCATTAACCCTTCTGGCAACCCACCAAGCGCCCTTCTTCATTGGTGCGCTTGCACCTTGCGCATCATCTGCATAGCTGGTTCCATCCTCTCTCTCTTACATCGTATATATCACATATCATATCCCCCGGCATCCCGGGACTATTTCCGCCATGGTGGTAGCACAGACGTGTTTCCGACCACCGTGAACCATTTTCAGTCA